AGATCTATAAACAAGGTATTAATATCAGGTGTGTGTCCATCTTTTATTCTTGGGCTGAGTGAGGTATATTTTGTCATTTAACATCGTCTTCCTAATCTTAACACCTTTAACATACATGGATTATTAATCTTGATATTTGGTGACTGACTTCAGGGCGAGCCTTTATTAGAACATGTGCTCCTCCTATAGAGAAGCCAGTGAGTACAAAGTAACCCCCTCCGTGGGTCACCTTATCTCAAGTGCCGCATGACTTGTGTACATTACCAGTACCCTGCAAATTATTAGAATTACTTTCCAAATAATCTTTGTGTTCTAAGTAACTAAAAATGATCATTACTGTTTTGAGCTTTGATTTGCTAAATTAATAAGTGAAAGAACTCCTTGAATCTGGCAGGTGCCCTCTGTGGTAAATGTGCCATTAATTCAGAAGCTGTTTTTAAGTCTTACTGTGTTGGATACATGCGAGGGGTGTTCAAGTCAAACTGGAACTTTTTAATTTTTACAAAGGTGAAAAGGGATGCTAGCGTGGCGGTACTACACGCAGTAGTAAGTGGCAAGTGTGTGTGATAGGTGGTGCAAATGTCGATGGCCAGTCCAGAGACCGTTAGTCAAGATGGCAGACAACCGTGTTAGTACGTAGATGGCATAGCGTGTGGTGATGAAGTGTCTTGTGAACAAAGGCGTAAAACCCGCGAATATCTACAGAAGACTTCAAGCACAGTGCGGTGATGAGATGCTCAACTGCAGCAAGACATTTAAAGGGTCTAAATGTTTCAAAGATGGCCCTACATCCATCTGGGACAATCCTGACCGTGTTGTTTGCCAGCCCACAGCAGTCAATTACTGTGAAAATCCAGTGTGTGGAACTCCTGATCCTGGATAATCGACGCATATCCTGTTGTGAATTGCACATATGTTTGTTGGAACGGTGAACACAATGATGACGAAGTGAAGCAGGCTGTCCTAGGATGGTGGCTGTCCTAGGATGGTGGCTGTCCTAGGATGGTTCAGGCGTACTGACAAATCTTTCTATGCTGAAGCTTTCCAGGTATTCGTTAAACACTGGGATAAGTGTATAAATGTAGCAGGGGAGTATGTCGAAAAATAAATGCAGTTTTTCCACTCTTTGAAACTTTCTTTTATTGTATAATCTCAGAAGTCCAGGTTTGACTTGAACGCCCCTCGTAATAAAGAACTGAAAGGCTGAACTCTAACCTTAACTGGAAAAAAAAATGCTACCAGTTACTCTGGCTTCCCTCCAGTGCTGCTTGCAGAATCCAAACCCTAGACCATGACTGAAAGGATAAACTATTTGGTTGGGCACCCCAACAGTTCTTGGGACCAGGTCATGTGAATAGCATTAGTGAGAACATATACAACTCTAAACAGAATATGTAGTCATGGACTTTGGACACACAGAAGAGAAACTGAGTACCGTAAAAATGTTATGTACTATTAAAAATTGCTCACAACATGTAAAGATTGCGATTACAAGCCACATGTGAACTTGATACATTTTGGGAATCCTTCTTCAGGAGCACATGTGACAGAATCAGTATTATTATTATACAATATTTATATAGCGCCAAAGTTTTCCCAGCGCTGTACATTATAGTGGGAGACAGCGCATGAGACAATACAGTAACAATACCATACATGAGGGGATCGAGGGCCCTGCTCCTTGGAGCTTACAATCTAGGAGGGAGGGGATAGTGGTACAGGAGGAAATGGCTGTGGGGGATGGAGTGGTAGGAGATCGGCAGTTAGGTGAGGGCGGGGTAGGCTTCCCTGAAGAGATGGGTTTTCAGGGTGCGCCTAAAGGTGAGGAGGGTAGGTGACAGTCTGATGGATTGGGGTAGTGAGTTCCAGAGGATGGGGGAAGTCCTGGAGTCGGGCATGGGAGGAGGAGACCAGGGAGCTAGAGAGTAGGAGGTCTTGTGAGGAGCGAAGAGTACGGGTTGGGTGGTATTTGGGTATCAGGTCGGTGAGGTAGTTTGGGGCAGTGTTATCAACAGCTTTGTACGTCAATGTTAGTAGTTTGAATTTTATACGTTGGGCAATCAGAAGCCAGTGGAGGGAATGACAGGGGGGTGGCGGATACGGAGCGGTTTGTAAGGTGGATGAGTCTGGCCGCTGAGTTCAGGATAGACTGAAGCGGGGATAGTCTGTGATGAGGTAGGCCGGTGAGGAGGGAGTTGCAGTAGTCGAGTCGTGAGATAAGTGAGTGAATGAGTTGTTTAGTAGTGTCTGGGGTTAGGAACGAACATATTTTGGAGATGTTGCGGAGGAGAATCAGTACACTGGAACCCACTCCTAATCTTTTAATAGAGTAATATCAATCAGTAGGGTAGACTGGAATTCATAGCCTGTGCATGTTGCCCATAGAGGTGCAAATGAGTAAGCCACTGCCCCTCGGTGGGAAATTGAGATACAGTCAGTAAACAGCCAATGGTCTTGTATACATAATCTTTAACTAGAAGGACCAACTTCCAAATGGGGACCCATCCAGACCCAATGTAAGGAAATCACCATAAAGACAGCATGATAGTCATGGCACATATGTTCTGTTTTGGGAAAATCTCCCCTGCAGGACAGAGCAAGATAAAAAGCAGGATGGGTTTTATTCTCTTTCAAAAGCTAAAAAAATGGCTTTACATAAACGTGAAGCTTATAAGAATGGGCCTAATATAATGGTCCTAGAACGCTGAAGCAGATCTAGCACTAAATACAAACCTGTGAAAACAAAATATAATGGTCTTCTACCCAGCTTCCACCTTTTAGAAAGAAGGGAGATGTAATAAGTGGATTTTGCTTTTTAGTGGAGTGTCCTATTTAAAGCGGAGTTTTAATCTGCTTATATTTTACCTTCCCGTACGCCTCCATTCTGCCATCAACATGTTCCTGAAATGTTTAAATAAAATCTGATATCCTTGGGTGTCATTACTCCTCTATGCAGTACAGGCAGATCATGGCTAGAGAGAGGGGTCTGTAGGATGTTGTACATGGCCTGCAAACTTGGCACTTTGCCTCAGTACTTCTCCCATGACCTGTCAAACAATGGACTGGCTTCTGGAATAATGCAAATACCAAAAATACCTTTTTCCAGGTGGGTGTCAGTCTGGTGGAGTGGCTGTTCCTAGGCAACTGCACCCACATATGATGCTGAACCTTCTGATTTTAAACTGTAATACAGTAAATGAAAAAGATGGGCTATCAGTCAGGCTAGGGAAGGAAAGCGTTAAAGTAGAACTAAAGGCAAAACTTTTTTTTCCCGTTTTGGCTAGAGTAAGGGGGTTTATTTTTTTTTCCCCATCTGTATCCCTTTTTGGGGAGATTTCCCTGCATTTCTGTCCCTTAGCCAAACAGGAAGTGAACAGAAATCTTTCCAAAGTGAGGGAAAACCAGGGTGGCATCAGGGTCACCAGAACTAATGTACCCATTGGAGGATTTCCCCTGTTACTGTTCTGGTGTCAACCCAAAGTTTGAGATTGTTTGTTTGTTTTTACTTTCACTTTCAATGATAACGATACGCAGGACAGATGGGGTGAATCTCCATAATGGGGACACAAACAGCAATAAAAACTGATTAGATATTCTAATTCCTCTTACTCTATCCAAAAAATGCCTTTAGTTATACTTAAAGCTGATCATACAGTCTGAGTGTACAGTGTCCTATAAATCTACCATGAGCTATAGAATGTAAGGACCTGTGGATTGGATAGAAATTGATTGGCTTGTATAAGGTTTGCTCTCCAATTACATACACTATATTGCCAAAACTATTGGACTGCCTGTCTTTACACACACATGAACTTTAATGGCATCACAGTCTCAGTCCACAGGGTTCAATATTGAGTTGGCCCCGCCCTTTGCAGCTATAACAGCTTCAAGTCTTCCGGGAAGGCCGTCCACAAGGTTTAGGAGGGTGTCTATGGGAAGGTTTGACCATTCTTCCAGAAGCGCATTTGTGAGGTCAGGCAGTGATGCCGGATGAGAAGGCCTGGCTTGCAATCTCCGCACTAATTCATCCCAAAGGTGTTCTATGGGGTTGACGTCAGGACTCTGTGCAGGCCAGTCAAGTTCCCCCACCCCAAACTCGCTCATCCATGTCTTTATGGAACTTTCTTTGTGCACTGGTGTGCAGTCATGTTGGAGCAGGAAGGGGCCATCCCCAAACTCTTCCCACAAAGTTGGAAACATGAAATTGTCCAAAATGTCTTGGTATGCTGACGCCTTAAGAGTTCCTTAAGCGGCCAAGCCCAACCCTTGAAAAACAACCTCACACCATAATCCCCCCTCCACCAAACTTTACACTTGGCACAATGCAGTCAGGCAAGTACCGTTTTCCTGGCAACCGCCAAACCCAGACACGTACTTTGGATTGCTAGATAGAATCGTGATTTGTCACTCCAGAGAAAACATCTCTGCTTTACGCCACTTCATTGGACGCTTTGCATTGCACTTGGTGTTGTAAGGCTTGGATGCAGCTGCTCGGCCATGGAAACCCATTCCATGAAGCTCAATACTTTTTGGCAATATAGTATAGTTTTGGTAAGTTTAAATGAGATTGTACTCAGGGATCAATTAGATTGTGGTGTGTATGGCCACCGTTCGATGTCGCTGGACATCCTCCATCAAGGAAAAGAGGCGGCTCTGTATAACGTGCTGCAGCTTATAATGCACATTGTCCGAAGCTCAGTGTGCTGTGAAAAATGTATAAGCAATTTCAGTCCAGGAAAGGAGCCTGTAGAACTGTGCAAGACTGAAGGGGAAGCTGGAGTTCACATTTTAAGCAGTTCAGCAATTAATCCTTCCCAGTAACACTGCTAACATGGCTTCGAGCTAATATTTGAGTGTAAGCCTTTTTTAAAGGGGATTTTAACTAATAGAATGGGAAAACCTCCATGTTTTGCTCTGTCCTGTCAAGATTACCCAACTATTTAATCTGTTTTTAACAGTGCAGCCAAGTGGCTGTGAGGCCGGGCAGACACCCATGCAACAGAGCCTGCATTGGAAAGAGTTGTGGTGCCCAAACAAAGCCCATTAGCGTTGCCAAATCTCACTAGCCTTAGCTCTGGTTCACACCGAATGAAATTTCAAAGTGGTGCGGTTTTGTCCCATTTTAAGGCACGACTTCAAAGTAGCGCTGATATAGAAACAAGTTCGATTTCAGTGCCATTTACCTTCTAGTCAATGCGAGTTAAAGCGCACTGAAGTGGTGAATAAGTAATGCAGGAATTCATTTTTCAAAGTGCGCTAATGAAGTCGCACCTATTAACACGGTGCCATAGAAATAGGTTAGATGTGACTTCAGGTGCGATTTGTAAATCGCATGTTGCAGCAGTGTGAACCAGAAGTTTGCCCTGGTTCACACTGAATACTACTTTGAAATCGCTCTACTTCACTTCAGGTAGCGTGATTTCAATGCCGCAGATCCATGTGATATGTTCCTCCGATTTCACTGCAGCTTGCGACTTTCATTTAACAGAAGGCAACGCAAGTTGCAATGAAATTAAAAAATACTTCCTGCACTACTTTTTCCAAAGCGCTACTTATTTTTTAATCGTTCATATACTTAGATGCTATCGTGCATTTATAAATCGAATGTACCGGTGTGAACCAGAGCTGCTTTTTAGCGCAGGTGAGCCAGAAATACTTTTTAGCGCAGGTGACAGAGCTGCTTCAGCGCAGGTGAGCCAGAGTGCTTTTTAGCGCAGGTGAGCCAGAGCTGCTTTTTAGCGCAGGTGAACCAGAGCTGCTTTTTAGCGCAGGTGAACCAGGTGCTTTTTAGCGCAGGTGAACCAGAGCTGCTTTTTAGCGCAGGTTAAACAGCTGAACAGGACACAGCAAGGGTGGAGGTTTCCAGTTTTCTCTTTGATAATTGAAAATCTTTTTAAGGTCTTCACAGAATGTAAACTAGAGATTTGTTGGGAGAGTCTGGCATACCGTTCACAGTAGAATTCATGTTTTGAGTGAATCGCCATATAATAAACATTTATTTAGTGCGAAGTATTGACATCTTTTAGGGTTTTTGCACACAAGTGCTTGGAAGTGGAAGCTCTCGTGTCTTCTGGGCTCCGTTCATCTTCGCTGCCGCAAGAATGTAGAAACCTTTTAAAGTGTATTTCCACTTTGCAACCAAATTGGGATAACACCTACTTTATGTTTTAAAACCTGTTATCATTCATATATCATAACTTATTAATAAACTCATTGATGTGCGTTTCCCAAAATAGTCAAGGCATTCCCTGAATAACATTTGATTGTGCAGTCAAACCATTAGATGGCTGGTGTTATGACTGATCACATGTGCAGCACCATAGCTGTTGCAGATCAAACAGAAGCTAAAATGCTTGCTTGGCTGTAAAGAATAGGAGGGTTTAGTTACGCTTTAAGGTCCGATTCACACCACAGGCAATCCAGTGCGTGTTTTTATTTTTTTTTTTTCATCAAAACGTATGAAAAGTAGGTGGTTTCCACTGGCATAATTCACACTAATGAAATCCGTTCCAGAAAAGAAAAAGTAGAACATGCATTTGCCTGGACTGTACTGCGAATGCAGTAAAATGCACTGGAATGCATCTAAAATGCACCAAAACGCATATGTCCCTATGTAATATGAAAAAAAAGTGGTAAAAAATACACTGAAACGTATCAAGAACGCACATGAATGCATCAAGAAAACGCTTTAAAAACGTGCATGCAGAAATTCATCTGAACTGCATTTCCGTGGTGTAAACTGGTCCTAAAGCAAAAATGTACGAACTGCTGCTTACCAATTTAGATGCTTTCTGGTCACTCCAGCACTGAAGAATCCTACTTTTGGTTCGCTGTTTTGAGGGAGCTGTTTGCAGTATTAACCCCGGCTGTTCTGTGCTGGCAGATCTCGCTTTTAAACTAATATTTTAATACTGTATATCCTAACAAAGGGCTAAGATTTTGAATGTGGCTTCACACATTGTGATGAGGGGAAGCTTAGTCTGGCCTTAGGACAGTCACTCTAAAATTGTTCAGAAACGCCTGTGAAGTTGCTTTCTGAGAAACCACTAAGAGGTAAGATTTTTTTTTTTTTTTTTTCTTTGTATGCTGTATAAATGGGAACACACAACATGTAGCCGGATTTTCTCACATTTTACTGCAAAAATGGAAATGCACTTTAAACTTTTTTTTTTTTTTTAAAGCAATCTTTCTAGGGCTGGCTTTCAAAGCCTAAGGCTTGGTTCACACCTCTGCAGTTTGCTTTTGATTAGTTTCTACAAGGCTTTTTGCAGAGCATTTTTTTTTTTTTTTTTCGATTTGATGGGCAGATTAAAAAATGCAAAACACATCAAAAACGCACTACATGCTTTTCTGTTGCATCTCCATTGAAGTCTGTTGAACCAAAAATGTACCATTTTATGTTTACGAAATCCCTGACCCATTCCAAAAACACAGCAGCTGAAAAAAAAGCATAGATGTGAACGTGAGTCATAGGAAACCATGTTAAATGGACTGTAGTTTGTTCCTGCAAAAAGCACCAAAATCACATAGGTGTGAATCAGGCCTTAAGCAAGCACAAGGAAATGCCCAGCTGCTTCCAGGCAGATATAAAAGACATAAATTGATGCATTTCTGTAATCCTTACCAGATCACTATATGCACTATGTGTATTAAATAAAAGCAGTGTAAATGCCTGAATTTTATTTGGTATCAACATCTTGCCATCCCTGCAAAGCGGAGTTCAGAACAAGGGACTGAATTGTGGAGTTCCTGTCCCTACAGCATTCTTTCATCATGTATAATTCAGCATGGCTGTATGGCTTCACTCAGAGTTGTAGTCTTCCATTCACAGACCCCCTAAATTGATTTGTGAATGGATGATGAAAGTCCTATAAGCCACTGTGGCATGCAGTCCAATCACTTGTAGTCCATTGGTCACTTCCTCCAGCTCTGTAACAGTAGGTCCTTACCTCCATACAGACCAAGGCCTAGGGGAGGAGTCTGCAGGAGCCATCATTCACTGATGTTGGTTGCAATGATCTTTGGGTCAGCATGCTAAAATTATTAAATGCACTTTTTTTTTTAATAAGTTTGGGTGCATTTTATTTGTTTTTATAGAAGCTTGCATCATTTTTATTTTATTTTTCTAGTAGTGTTTAGTTAGGTTGGACAGGGAATTTTAATTTCTGTTTAGTAATATAAAGTGATGCAAACAATTTTCAGTTTATTCCTCATATGGTTTAAGCTGTTGGACTGTTTTGATTGGCTGAGTCATCTGCACTGTTTCCTATTCCAGGCTTGACACTACTCTCATAGACTTCACCGACATGAAGTGCCAACGAGGGGACCTCAGCTTCATCTTCAATGGCGATGCTCCCCCCTCTGAATCTTTTGTAGTTTTAGACAATGAACAGAAAGTTTACCAGAGAATACATCATGAGGTGAGTCCATGAAAAGGAACTGTAACTACTTCTGAGATCTATAAACCAATAATACAAATTATCAAGCCCAGAGCTACCGGTTTATCTGCTGTAGACTTTGGTTTCAAAGACTTCCTGTTGCTTATAAGGTTAGTGTTGCTAAACCCTGGACCCTGCATTCCCTATATCCAGTTCTCCCCGGACCCTGCATTCCCTATATCCGGTCTCCCGGACCCTGCATTCCCTATATCCGGTCTCCCCGGACCCTGCATTCCCTATATCCGGTCTCCCCGGACCCTGCATTCCCTATATCCGGTCTCCCCGGACCCTGCATTCCCTATATCCGGTCTCCCCGGACCCTGCATTCCCTATATCCGGTCTCCCCGGTCCCTGCATTCCCTATATCCGGTCTCCCCGGACCCTGCATTCCCTATATCCGGTCTCCCCCCGGACCCTGCATTCCCTATATCCGGTCTCCCGACACCTGCATTCACTATATCCGGTCTCCCACAGTACACAGAACATGGAAGTGCAATTATTTTAGTAAATCTAAACTGCTAAATACCTTTTCTCATCAGCAGTATATAGTAGTCATGAGACTTCTATCAGTGTCCAGCTGAGCACTGGTTAAAGCTTTATAGCAGGAGTTTTCATTCTCCCCTGATTGTCCTATGAGGCTGCAGGACCCCTGCCCCTCTGTCTGAACAGCGCTGATTGGCCCCATGCTGATCACATGCACTCTCCTAAAGAAAAAAATAAACTTTCTAGCCATACACATCAAACTGAGACTGTGCAGAGTAGCTCCTAGAGCTGTGTACTGTCGGCAGATGTCTTGGTTACAGTGAAAGGAGAGGATCGGAGAAGACAGGCTCAAACAGCCTTTTTGCACAATGCGTGGGATTAACCCCTTAGGCTCCACAGTGAGTATTGCAAGCATGCTATACTGCATAGAGGTACATGGTTAGTCTGGCTGAAAAAAGACAAATGTCCATCCAATTCAACCATAAAAAAAAAAAGTTATAAATCTACACCCACAGTTGATCTAGAGGAAGGCAAAAAAAAACCCAGCAAAGCATGAATCAATTTACTCCTGCAGGGAAAAAAATCCTTCCTGATCCCCCGAGAGGCAATCGGATATTCCCTGGATCAACTTTACCTATAAATGTTAGTATGCAGTTATTATTCTGTGTATCCAAGAAAGAATCCAGGACTTTTTTAAAGCAATCCACTGAGCTGGCCAGAACCAACTCTTGAGGGAGTCTATTCCACATTTTCACAGCTCTCACTGTGAAGAAACCTTTCCGTGTTTGGAGATTACATTTCTTTTCCACCAGACGTAAAGAGTTCCCTCTTGTCCTCTGTGATGACCTCAGGGTGAATAGCTCTACACCGAGTTCACTATATGAACCACTGACCATTTATACTGATCATATCCCCCTTTTATACATGGAGATCATATCCCCCCTTATGTATTTATATTCATACTTATGTATTATACATGGTCATATCCCCCTTATGTATTATATCCCCCCCCATGGAGATCATATCCCCCCCTTATGTATTATACATGGTGATCATATCCCCCCTTATACATGGAGATCATATCCCCCCTTATGTATTATACATGGTGATCATATCCCCCCATATCATATCCCCCCTTATGTATTATACATGGTGATCATATCCCCCCCTTATGTATTATACATGGTGATCATATCCCCCCCTTATGTATTATACATGGTGATCATATCCCCCCTTATGTATTATACATGGTGATCATATATCCCCCCTTATGTATTATACATGGTGATACATATCCCCCCTTATGTATTATACATGGAGATCATATCCCCCCCCTTATGTATTATACATGGAGAATCATATCCCCCCTTATGTATTATACATGCACATGGTGATCATATCCCCCTTTAATCTCCTTCTCAAGAGAGAATAATCTTTCCTCATAGCTGATCTCCTCCATGCCTCTTATCAGTTTGGTTTCCCTTCTCTGTACTTTCTCCAGTTCCCCAATGTTCTTTCTGTGAATTGGTGCCCAAAACTGAACTGCATATTCCAGATGAGGTGTTACTAATGATTTGTTACCGGGGGAAATGATCTCTCTCTCTGGAGTCTATACCTCTTTTAATAGAAGAGGATTTTGCTCACTTTAGAAGCCGCAGCTTGGCATTGCATGCCATTATTAAGCTTGTGAACTCCCAGATCCTTCTCCACCATTGACCCCCCCAGTTGTACCCCTAATAGTATGTATGATGCATTCATATTCTTAGCCCCCAAGTGCAGAACCTTACATTTCTCAACATTAAACCTCATTTGCCACATAGATGCCCAGTTTTGGTTGCCCTGCTTTTATATACAGACTGCTTTTTCTGTGGTGGGTTTAGTAACACTTTAAAGAGAACCTTACCGAGTGGACCCTTACTAGGAGGACTATGAAGTGGTTTAGGTACTGCCTGACTCATAGAAACCAGGATTATTCAGAAGCGGCAAGTAAGCAGCCATGAAGTATACTCTGGTGCAGGGATCTCCAAACTTTTCGAACAAAGGGCCAATTTACTGTCCTTCAGACTTTAGATGGGCCAGATTGTGGCCAATATGGGGACAGATAATGTCCCAGGCCCAGCATTAGTGAGAATGAACATGGCCTCAGGGTTTGTGGTCAGTAGGAGGAGGAATCGTGCCCCGTCATTGGTATCAGGTGAAGATTTGGTGCCCCATTGTTTGTGTCAGTGGGAGGAATAGGAATGGAGCAAGGTAATGGCTAGCAAAGGTCTGCAGTTTGGAGATCCCTGCTCTAGTGATTTGGCACATATAGTGACAAAAAGGCACTCAAGCTTGATGGTAAATGGGGGTCACTTCTGTTTTTTTTTTTTTTTTTTTTTTTTTGTTTTTTTTTTTTTTTTTTTTTTTGTGCCCCCCGTAACAAGCTGCTTCCTGTGTTGCCATCTTATTGCTGAACTGTGCCCTTCACAGCTTTCTCTCCCTTTGTGGGGAAAAAAAATCGTCCAAGTCTGACATCTTTTGCTTAATTCAGGACGGACTGACTGCTGGTTCCTGTGCCGTCTGACATCTGTCTAGAGGCATGATGACAAGTCTGCCCACCGCTCCTGTCCTTTGAGCCCACCCACACAACTACTGCCTACCTCTTTCCCACTATGATGCAATGCTAAGGACTGCAGTATGTTTCCCCCACCCCCTCCTGTGTAATTAAAATAGAGTAGTAACTAGAGAGGTGGGCAGAACAGAGGCCATGTGATAAGATACAAGAACCCCAGAGCAAAAATGAACCCCTATCTTGGTGCTTCAGTTGGTACGTCAAAGGAAATGTGGTTCCCTTGCAGGCTCTGCACTCAAAGGATAGTCCCATGAACTGAACAAGGAGCCCAGCGCATCTTTTCAAATTCAGCACATAGAAGATGCTGAATCACTTAAAAGCCTACCAAACCTATTCATCCCACATTTTCCCCAAATTCCATCTCTCTATCCATCCATTAACCTGACCAATTTTGAAACTGCACAAATTTCAATGTGTTGGTCAAATGTACCACCACCTACTGGAGCTGCACTCCCGGACTGTTGTGACCTCCAAAATTAAAGGAAAATCGATCTGTATATATGACACAGATCAATGCCTAAAGTGGAACCAGAGGGTTTAGTCACCTTTTCAACAGTCCCACACCAGAATCTTCTCTTGTAAGCCGGTCTTCCACCTCCGTTATTGGTCAGTGCAGAATGATGTCAGTACTGTGCATGTTCAGGAGCTGGCCAGGCACTGTATGCTGAGCTGCGCATGCGCAGCTCAATTTACAGTGCTGGAGAAGTCATCAAGTAGATGGGTAGGGGCATTTTATTGCAGAAGAGATCTGCAATGTCTCTCTTCTGCAATCAAAGCCTGCCTGCCTGCTGGCTGTTTGTTACAGCTGAACTTGCGCTTTAATGCTTTGCTTTCTTTTCGATTCCCTCTACACATCTCCCTTCAGTCTTTCTGGTAGTATTGAATTCTGATCCTCTAGCAACTTTGTGTACTGCAAAAACTGTGATGTCGTCCGTTTATAATGAGAGTATAAAGACGCACAAAGTCCTGTATTGACCTGTATTGATAAACCTTTTCATTACAGGAATCGGAAATGGAGACAGAAGAGGAGGTGGATATTTTAATGAGTAGCGATATCTATTCAGCAACTTTGTCTACAAAATCCATCACGTTTACACGTGCCCAAACCGGCTGGCTTTTCAGGGAGGATAAAACGGTATGTCGGTGGAATATTGAAACTCATCCTGTACAGGCATACTACAGTCAGATGTATAGTACATAAACTTTGAGATGCTTACAGGGAGCATAGTCAATATGTTAAACCTTTCAACCAGATATTGTAGCACTACTGTCTACCCCGCATCTTTCCTTTTTAAAGTGGTTTTAAAGGCACAAGGTTTTTATGTTCATGCATTCTGTGAGTTAAGAGCCCCCCTAACTCTTACCTGAACCCCATCCCAATCCAGCGTTTGTCCACAAGAGCCTCAGTTCTCTTGGGACTCTCCATTGGCTCCTGCTGCAGTCAGTCACAGCCAGTGAGCCAATCGGGAGAGGGAGGGGGGTCGAGGCCGAGCCACAGCTGTATGAGTATGGACCCGCAGAGCTGTCTCGGGAGCTCGCTTGCTTGGGTGCCCCAATAGCAAGTTGTGTGCTGTTGGGTCACCTGACAGGAGGGAGAGGCCAGGAGTGCTAGCCGGGAACCCAAGAAGAGGAGGATCCAGGTTGCTCTGTGCAAAACCATTGCACAGAGCAGGTAAGTACCGTATATACTCGAGTATAAGCCGACCCGAATATAAGCCGAGGTACCTAATTTTACCACAAAAAACTGGGAAAAACTATTGACTCGAGTATAAGCCGAGGGTGGGAAATGAGGCACCTACTAGTCAATGTAAAAAATAAAGAGAGAGACCAATAAAATCACATGAATATTTGTGGGGTGTCAGTGGGGGGAGGAATAGTGCCCCATCGTTGGTGTAGTGGGGGGAGGAATAGTGCCCCATCGTTGGTGTCAGTGGGGGGAGGAATAGTGCCCCATCGTTGGTGTCAGTGGGGGGAGGAATAGTGCCCCATCGTTGGTGTCAGTGGGGGGAGGAATAGTGCCCCATTGTTGGTGTCAGTGGGGGGAGGAATAGTGCCCCATCGTTGGTATTAGTGACACCAATGATTGGGCACTATTCCTCCCACTGACACCAATGATACTTACCTTGCTGACCCCTGCTCCAGCCTGGGCTCGCTCGCTCCCTCCCTCTCCCATGGTACACACTTACCGGTCAGATGTCTTCCTTCTCCTGCCGCTCTCCTCCTCTTCACTTCGCGGTGCCGCTCGGCTCCTCCTCTCCAAGCTGCACCTCCTCGCCGGTGATTGGGCGCCTGTGTGCCTCTCCTGAGCTACAGTTCTGGTGCCAATCACCGGCGAGGATTGATCCCAGGGGGGTGTGTCCAGATGACAGGGACGGCATGTCATCCCGCAGACGTTGACTCGAGTATAAGCCAAGGGGGGCGTTTTTCAGCACAAAAAATGTGCTGAAAAACTTATACTCGAGTATATACGGTATAACATGTTAAAGTGATACTAAAGTCGTGGTGTGGTGTTTTTGTTTTTTTGTTTTTTTCTTATCAATAACATAGTGACATTAAGGAGACCTTCACTGTGCTACATCCAAAAATATATACCAAAACCAATAGTAACAAAACTGTTCCCCAAAAAAGGTGGACTTTTCTGGCTCAACATGAGGCGACACAAAAAATCAGAACGTTTATTACAAGGAGGATTATAAACCTATCAAAGATGATAAAGTGATAAAGGAGCAACACTCAGCAACAGCTTTGCTACCCAACTCTGGGATGGAGCAATGGTGGACACTAGATTATGAAATTAAATCCATATATTATGTTCACATACTGGAATTTTCTTATTTCTATCTCATGCCACATGAACATGTACACTCACAAGTCACTTTATTAGGTACACCTGTTCATTTGCTTGGTAACACAAATTGCTAATCAGCCGATCACATGGCTGCAACTCCATGCATTTAGGCATCTAGACGTGGTGAAGACGACTTGCTGAAGTTCAAACCGAGCATCAGAATGGGAAGAAAGGGGATTTAAGTGATTTTGAACGTGGCGTGGTTGTTGTCACCAGATGGGCTGGTCTGAGTATTCAAAAGCTGCTGATCTACTGGGACTTTCACACACAACCATCTCTAGGGTTTACAGAGAATGGTCCGAAAAAGAGAAAATATCCAGTGAGCTGCAGTTGTGTGGATGAAAATGCCTTGTTGATGTCAGAGGAGAATGGGCAGACTGGTTGCTGCAACATTCCGATGGTAGGGTCAGAATTTGGCATAAACATGAAAGCATGGATCCATCCTGCCTTGTATCAATGGTTCAGGATGGTGGTGGTGGTGTAATGGTGTGGTGGATCCATCCTGCCTTGTATCAATGGTTCAGGCTGGTCGTGGTGGTGGTGTAATGGTGTGGTGGATCCATCCTGCCTTGTATCAATGGTTCAGGCTGGTGGTGATGGTGTGGTGGATCCATCCTGCCTTGTATCAATGGTTGGTGATGGTGTGGTGTGCCTTGTATCTCAGGATGGTGGTGGTGGTGGTGTAATGGTGTGGTGGATCCATCCTGCCTTGTATCAATGGTTCAGGCTGGTGGTGGTGGTATGGTGTGGTGCCTTGTATCAATGGTTCAATGGTGTGTGGGAGATTTTCTTGGCACTAGCAAGGAGTACCTAATAAAGTGGTTGGGTGAGTGTATATCGATTTAATGTTTATTCGTGGCACAAATATTAAAGTGGAACTTCACTTTGTCAGCCAACATTGATCATTTTTAATCCTTATGCTACTAGCATTAGTAAATAGGAAATATATCATTTTGCTTGTTTTTTTTGTTTTTTTTAATCAGTTACTTTCTGGTTTCCAGGCCTGTGCAAATTGTGCCATACATCCAAGGAATCTTGAGGAGGGGTTTTCTAAGCTAAGCACATCTTCCTGCCTGCATGCCTGAGCTAAGGGCAGATGGATTTCAGTAAATACTTTGAATCATCTGCCCTTCTTCAAAATGGTCACGGCTAGAAATTCTTGGGGTGGGGGGGGGGTGTTGTTCCAAAGTGACTTCTCAGTAAAAAACCATGGAGACATGGTTAGATGACAGAGTTTGCATTGGATATTAAAAACGAATTAGCGTTTTTCATTTGTGGTCCTCAAATGCACTGTAGTTGCACTTTAATGTCAAAATTGCACCATTTTAAAAGCGCACCGCTGTTAATTTTATAGGGTCCACTGCATTCTGTGGTGTCTGGGTGTCTCTAAATTGTGTGTAGCTACTGGCTTCTCCAGAATTCAATGTCAGCTGACCTTACACATATAGATTATTTTGTAGACTGCAGGCAGAACCAGAAAAAAAATCTGATCCCGCTATTCATACTGCATAGTCTAGATGGACTAATCTCCTGCCGACTGTCAAAATGCTTGCACCGTACCTGTATCTGCTTGGATGTAGGTGCTCTTTGGCTGGCAGTTTTCTGCCAGGCTTCTTTCGTTTTTTCTTTTCAATTTAAGTTTGAGTTTTCAATGAGACCGATAATAACAAAAAGGATAAGTACAGTAAGAGAAAATGTGTGGGATTTAGTGGTAGGCACCAATCCGCATGTATCACAGAAATGAGTATAACATACATATAATACAATGAGGCAGGTTGGCGTAAAAGAACAATGTGTAATATTCAAACTGAGAAGTAGATCACAGCCCCGGGCTCCATAGCTTAGGAAACCGGAGTTGTCTGGTGTGGGAACACATAAGAATTATGCAATAACCGAAAAATAAAAGAAAATGTTTGTCTGGAAAATTATATATCAACAAAAAATATTAGCGAAAAAAAAAAAAAAAAGGAAAGGAAAAACGAGGAAATGAAAGAGAGAGAATAAAAGGGACTGATACAAAACAGGGAAGAATGAGACGAATCAGGGATGGTATACCCGCCCCACCATGGCTACGTCAGGGGAGGGGCCGCTCCACTGGCAACCCGAGAGTGGAATTCGGAGGAATAGTAGAACAAGGTGCAAGGGGTCCAGATAGAGGAGAGCAGATCTGTTTTCTCCGATTCCTGCTCCAACAGGCGTTCAAGGTCATGGATAGAGTCCAACGCACAAACCCATTCTCCCAAGGAAGGCACAGAAGTGGACTTCCAATGGCGTGGGATAACTGCCTAGGCCAGTGGTCGGCAAGCCGCGGCTCTTTACACATTTTAATGCGGCTCTTCTGTGTGCCGGGCGCCCGCTCCCCTCCCTCCTCTCGGGTGGCCGCCCCAAAAGTCAGGACTCTGCTGCTAGCCCAGCAATGGGCAAACTACGGCCCGGCAGACCTTTTAATTCGGCCCGCGGAGCGTGGCAAACATTGGCTGTCAGGATGTAGGCGGGGCAGCGTGACGAACTCCTCTCCTCTCACAGTCCGCCCTGAAGACCGGAACGGCGCGGGGGGGAACACAGCGAGAGGAACGCGCGGAGCAAAGGTAAGTGAATTGACACAATATGGGGAATGAATTACTATATGGGGGATGAATTACTATATGGGGGAATTACTATATTACTATATGGGGGACGAATTACTATAGGGGGGGACGAATTACTATATGGGGGACGATATTACTATATGGGGGGATGAATTACTATAGGGGGGATGAATTACTATATATGGGGGGAATTACTATATGGGGGAATTACTATATGGGGGATGAATTATTTTCAGTTTTTCAAAAATGTGGCTCTCAAAATAAATTTCAATCGTGGTTTTGGCGAGATTTGGCTCAGTTGAAAAAAAAGGTTGCCCACCACTGGCCTAGGCAACAGCCACCAGCTGTCTCCGGATATCCAGTTTCACTGATTTAATAGATCCAGGCAGTAGGGAGAGAAGTGCCAGCTCTGGAGATGGAGTGACCGATGTTGTCGTCAGTTTATTATACAGGTCAAAAATTCCGGATAGGCGGACAAGACCACCAAATATAAAGTACAGTACCCCGTGAGCGATGACAATGCCAGCAAACGTCAGGGTCCTTTCATTTTTCAACTGAGTAGTGTCAGGTGGGAGATGGCCAACGGCCATCCACCGAGCAAATTTTGGTTGGTCCATCAGGAAATGGCCAAAGTATGAAAAGTGTATAGGCCAGCTTTAGTACGGCTGAGGCACTCATCCTGATTTATAATAAAGGGATGGGTGATGGTGCAAAACAAGAGAGGAAGTCTGGTCTGTACTGAACAAACTCATTTCTCTTACTGCTAGGAAGATGGTGTCTTATTTATTCCAACTGAACCTGATAATTTCCTGAACATATGAACTTAACCGCAAACAAGCCGCATTGTTAGATCGCTTTTTTTAATTCCTTTTGACAGCTCATGGGAGAGCGGCATCTGCCCACTTGGATTGGAACAACACAACTGTAGCAACATACATTATTGAAATGCATACAGTACATGTCAAGGGTTTTACCTTCCAAAACATATGTGCGTTCATCTAGTCTTGTGATTCACGCATCCTGTCACTTGCAGAGTCAAGAAGGTGCCATTTGATTCAGTTTTGGAGCTTTGAATTCTCCCCTCCAAAGCTTTTTTTTTTTCTTTGAATTGTCTGCAAGTATACAGCGGCATTTTAGGATTTTTTTTTTTTTTTTTTTATAACTGCATAATTGAACTAATTGAGTTTTGTATATGACTTGGGACCAGACCGGGAGAACGAACTGGGAAATGTCCCCAAATGATCTTTTGCTGCTTCAAGTCTCATGTCCTCGTTTCACCTCAGGACATATTTAGATCAGTTCTGGTTGTGAGACTTGAAACCAAAACGGGGATGGTTTATGTGAATGCTTCAACTCCCTGTGGGGTCTCCTAGATGTGGCAAGTAATATAGTGAGTGCCTATAGGAAAGCTCAATCACCATGCTGTATAGATCATAAAAATCCTAAAATCGGGAGATTGTTCATGAATCCATCTATGACAAAAGTCCATGGCTTAATCCGAAAGAGTCAGAAATGATCCTTTTAATGGCAGTCGTTCCCAGAGTTGAAGCTGTCAGTGTGTGTAAACAAGAAGGAAAGGGAAAGGGGCCTCTAAATGTAATAATATGAAAACCATTTATTAAAAAGCCAAAGGGTGAGTGGTTTGGCTTTCCTCTTCAACCACACTGACTTCAGATCTCGTCCAGCGTCTTACAGACTGGTGTTCGACGTGGTGTTCCAGATCATACCTTTTTATGGGCGAGCCTTTTCCTTGTATAGATCATGATTTGGCCATTTCTGGATTTTAAAAAATGTTTTTCATATTATTTCACTTAGAGGCGCTTTCCCTTTCTTTCTAGATGTGAGATTTTCCCTAATTCCGTTTGGTGATGTGTGGTTTTGCGGCTTTATCCTGTGTTTTTTTTTTTTTTCTGTGAATCTGCAGTTGTGTGTACACTGTTCCCTTCCTCTTATACCAGTCTAGGAAACTGTATAGCCGCTCTTCTCGCACCCGGCATTCACTATAGCCGCTCTCCTCGAACCCGGCATTCACTATAGCCGCTCTCCTTGCACCCGGCATTCACTATAGCCGCTCTCCTTGCACCCGGCATTCACTATAGCCGCTCTCCTTGCACCCGGCATTCGCTATAGCCGCTCTCTCCCCGCACCCGGCGTTCGCTATAGCCTCTGTCCCCGCACCCGGCGTTCGCTATAGCCGCTCTCCTCGGACTCGGCATTCGCTATAGCCGCTCTCTCCTCGGACTCGGCATTCGCTATAGCCGCTCTCCTCGGACTCGGCATTCGCTATAGCCGCTGTCCCCGCATTCACACCCGGCATTCGCTATATAGCCGCTGTCCCCGCACCCGGCATTCGCTATAGCCGCTGTCCCCGCACCCGGCATTCGCTATAGCCGCTGTCCCCGCACCCGGCATTCGCTATAGCCGCTGTCCCCGCACCCGGCATTCGCTATAGCCGCTGTCCCCGCACCCGGCATTCGCTATAGCCGCTGTCCCGCCCCGCACCCGGCATTCGCTATAGCCGCTGTCCCCGCACCCGGCATTCGCTATAGCCGCTGTCCCCCCCGCACCCGGCATTCAGTATATATTTTAGTAAATATAAACTGCTAACGTTTTTTCTCATCGGCAGTATACAGCAGTCTAGTGACTTCTATCCGTGTCCTGCAGAGCTTGTAGGAGGAGTTTTCATTTTGCTCTAGGAGGATGCAGAATCCCTGACCTCTGTCTGGACAGTGCTGATTGGTCCTTTCCAGATCACATGCACTCTCCCAAGGAAAAAAAACCTGGGAGTTATAAGCGTCTGTTCTTCAACTTTGCTCGGTAAAAGACTAACCTGTTTTTATTAGCACATGTTCCTAAAATGCTGCTTGCAGACGGGGGGAAAAAGTAAAAATAAAAAAACACAGCGCAAAAAAATTAATATACATATAAATGAAATCACAAAACTTAAATAAAAAATATATTAAATAATATATGAAATAATGTCCAAATAAAAGTCCCAATCCAAAGAATGAAGAAATCTTAAATTCAATGTGCTCCAAAGAAATAAATGAAAAAAGTGCCGTATGCAGAAAACTTCAGTGTATTAACACCATCCGTGATAACTAACATATACTGCACTCACCAAATATAGTGCACTCTCAGTGATTAAGAGTCAAATACGCTTTGTGGATATTATATATCCTGCCAATACGGGTTTCCACTGCTCAGAAGAATGCTCCAATAGAAGGATTTCCCACACAATTCGATCAGTGTGAAAAAAGAAAAAAAACTGATCGTGTAATATTGTCAAAAGAATTTAATTTCTAAAAACAGATGCATCAATTGCACTCACATGTTTAAACCACAAGAAACGCCTTGGGTCAATTACATATGACCATCAAATCACTTTCTGCCAATGAAGATTTCCCATAGTGTGTGAACTGGCAGCTCAGATGGATATAGACACCGTAAAGATGGCTCTGGAACGCAGCGTCCCGCGTGCGGTCCACTCACCGGATATGACGTCACGGCGTAGCAAAGAAAAACCAGAAGTTACGTCGACGCGTTTCACCCTTTCTCCAGGGCGTTCTCAAAGGGGGAAAAAGCCACACTCATAGCTGCTCGAAGCTTTGACAGCTAGAAGTTTGTACTTTATACGTGTAAACGTACACACGTTTTATGTGCCTGTGTACCTGAGGTCTGTATTGAACATAGCTTGCCGCAAGCTCATCTTTCACACCTGCAAATCAAGGAGGGTTTCCATTTTTTTGCCTAATCCTTGTATGTGTATGTGCCTTTCTGTATTTGTATTGTCTTGATAACTTTGTATATATTTTTTTTTTTTCAATAAAACTGTAAACAAGATCCTGCTGCTGTGGTAATCTGTCTTGAGGGAAGAAGCACAACCATTGTAACTTTTTTTTTTTTTTGCTTTTTTCCCCCAGGAGCGTGTGGGAAACTTCTTAGCAGACTTCTATTTAGTAAATGGCTTAATCTTAGAGTCCCGAAAGAGGAGAGAGCACCTCAGTGAGGAAGACATTCTGCGAAATAAAGCCATCATGGAGAGTCTGAGCAAAGGAGGGAGCCTGATGGAGCAGAACTTTGAGGTAGGTGTACGTAGGCTGCCTGCTGTCATTGATTGGAGATCACACTTTCTACCTGTCACATCATAGCGCAGAATAGTGAGTTTTATCTGATTTGCTTCTAGAGGTCAGAAAGAAATGTTTATCCTCCTAAAGTATACCTGTGATATAAAGGAAACTCTTAGGGATTTAAAGGGATTAATTCCGCCATTCTTTAACTGCTATTATGCAACTGTCCTGTTCATTCAGAATGTTTTGTTGCTCTGATCAAAGAATATCCCATTACATCCAGTTTTTTTCTGTCCTTTCTAAGTAATCCGCATTGGTGAGGCCACTTCTAATTTTTCAAGTGACTGGCTCTATGATCTCCAGCTTGTAAATATTTGGAATGGTGTTAAAACGCATCTCAGGCAAACCTCTAAATCCGTGTTTTTTTTTTTTTTTCTCATCTATCTATCTCTCTATCTCTCATCTCTCTATCTCTCATCTCTCTATCTCTCATCTCTCTCTATCTCTCATCTCTCTATCTCTCATCTCTCTATCTCTCATCTCTCTATCTCTCATCTCTCATCTCTCTATCTCTCATCTCTCTATCTCTCATCTCTCTATCTCTCATCTCTCTATCTCTCATCTCTCTATCTCTCATCTCTCTATCTCTCATCTCTCTATCTCTCATCTCTCTATCTCTCATCTCTCTCATCCTCTCATCTCTCTATCTCTCATCTCTCTATCTCTCATCTCTCTATCTCTCATCTCTCTATCTCTCATCTCTCTATCTCTCATCTTCTCATCTCTCATCTCTCATCTCTCATCTCTCATCTCTTCTTCTCATCTTCTCTCTCTCTCTCTATCTCTCATCTTCTATCTCTCATCTCTCTATCTCTCATCTATCTATTCTCTCTTTTATCTTCTCTCATCTTCTTCTCTCATCTATCTATCTCTCATCTTTCTATCTCTCATCTATCTATCTCTCATCTATCTATCTCTTTTTATCTTCTTCTTCCTTTCTATCTTATCTCATCTATCTATCTCTCATCTATCTATCTCTCATCTATCTATTCCTCTTCATCTCTTCTTTCTTCTCTCATCTATCTATCTCTCATCTATCTTTCTCTCATCTTCTTCTATTCATCTATCTATCTCTTCTTTTCTATCTCTCTTCTCATCTATCTTTCTCTCATCTATCTTCTCTCATCTATCTATCTTCTCATCTATCTATCTCCTCATCTTCTTCTCTTCTCTCATCTTCTATCTCTCTCTATCTTCTCTCTTCTATCTTCTCTCATCTATCTTTCATTCTCATCTATCTATCATCTCTCATCTATCTTTCTCATCTATCTATCTCTCATCTTCTATCTCTCATTCTATCTATCTCTCATCTATCTTCTCTCTTCTTATTTCTTCTCATCTTCTTTCTATCTCTCATCTATCTTTCTTCTCTTCTTCTTCTCATCTCTTCATCTCTTCTTTACCTCTCATTCTTCTATCTCTCTTTCTCTTCTCTCATCTTCTATCTCTCATCTTCTATCTCTCATCTATCTATTCTCTCATCTCTCATTCTCTATCTTCATCTTTTTCTCTTTCATCTCTCTATCTCTCATCTCTCTTCTCTCATTTCTCTCTCTCTTCATCTCTCTTTCTTCTTCTCTCTTTCTTCTTATCTTTATCTCTCTTTTCTCTTTCTCTCATCTCTCTTCTTCATCATCTTTCTTTTCTTCTTCTCTCTATCTCTTTCTTCTCTCTCTCTTCTTTTCTTCTTCTTCTCTTCTATCTCTTTCTTAATCTTTTCTCTTCTTTTTTCTTATCTTCTCTTTCTTCTATCTATCTCTTCATCTATCTTCTTTTCTATCTTCTTTTCTTTTTCTTCTTTTTTTTTCTTTCTCTCATCTTTTCTCTCTTTTTCATCTTCTTCTCTCATTTTTTCTTCTCTTATTTATTCCCTTCCCTTCTCTCATCTTCCTCATCTCCTTCTTCTTTTCTCTTCTCTCTCTTCTCTTCATCTTTTTTTTCTCCCTTTCTCTCTTCTCTCTCTTTCTCTTCATCCTTCTTCTTTCTCTCTCTCTCCTTTTCCTCTTCTCTCTTTTCTTCTTTCTCTCTCTTTCTTTCCTTCTTCTTCTCTCCCTTCTTTTTTTTCTCTCCCTCTTCTTCTTTCCTTTCTCCCCTTTTTTTTCCTTCCTCTCTTCTTTTTCTTCTTCTTCTTCTACTTCTTCTTTTCTTCCTCTCTCTCCTTCTTCTTTCCCCCTCTCTCTTTCTATCTCTCTCTTCTCTCTTTCTTCCTTCTTTTTTTTCCTTTCTTTCCTTTCTTCTTCTCCTTCTCTTTCTCTCATCTTCCCTTCCTTCTTCTTCCTCTTCTTTCTCTCTCTCTTCTCTTTCTTCTTCCCTCCTTCATCCTTTCTTTCTTCTCCATCTCTTCTCTTCTTCCTTCTTCTCTCTTCTTCTTCTTCTCTTCTTCTTCTCTTCTCTTTTCCCTCCTCTTCCCTCCTCTCTCCCCCTCTTCCTCTATCTCTCCCTCTCTCCTTCTCCCCCTCCTTCTCTCTCTTCTCTTCTTCTTTCTTCTCTCTCTTCTTCTTCTTTTCCTTCCTCCCTCCCTCCTTCTTCCCTATCCTTTCTCTCTCTCCCTCTTCTTCCCTTCTCTTTCTTTTCTCCTCCCTTCTTCTCTTCCCTCCTTTTCTTCCTTTCTTTCTCCTTCTTCTTCCCCTCTTTCTCTCTCCCTTTTCTTTCTTCTATCCCTTTCTCTCCTTCTCTCTCTCCTCTTCTTTCCTCTTCTCTCTCCCCTCCCCTTCTTCTTCCCCTTCTTTCTCTCTCTCTCTTTCTTCTTCTCTCTTCTTCTTCTCTCTCTCTTCCTTCCCTCCCTCCTCCTTTCTCCCTTCCCCTTTTCCCTCCTCTCCTCCCCTCCCCCCCTCTCTCACCTTCCTCTCTCTCTTTCTTCCCCCTCCCTCTCCCTTCCCTCTCTCTCCTCTCCTTCTTCCTTTCATCCTCTCCCCTCTCTCTCTCTTTCTCCTCCCTCCCTCTCCCTCTCTTCTCTCCCCTCCTCTCCCCCCTCTCCCCCCTCTCTCCTCTCTCCCCTTTCCCTCCCCCCCCTCTCCTTTTCCTCTCTCTCTCTTCCCTCCCTCTCTTCTTCTTTCTCTCCTCTCTTCTTTTCCCTCCTCCCCCTCTCTCTCCCCCTCTCTCTCCTCTCCCTCCTCCTCCCTTTTCCTTCTCTCTCCTTCTCTTTTTCCCCCCCTCCTCCCCTTCCCCCCCCTTCTTCTCCCCCCTCCCTCTCTTCCCCCTCCCCTCTCCTCCCCTTCTCCTCTCCCTCCTCCTCCCCCTCCCCCCCCCCCTCTCCCCCCTCCCCCCCCTCTCCCCCCCCCCCCCTCTCCCCTTCCTCTCCCTCTCCCTCCTCCCCCCCCCTTTCTTTCCTCCCCCCTCTCCCCCTCTCTTCTCTCTCCCCCCTTCTCCCCTTCCCTCTCCCCCCCTCTCCCCCCCCTCCCCTCCTCCCCCTCTCCCCTCTTCCCTCCTTCCTCCCTCTCCCCCCTCTCCTTTCTCCCTCCCCCCCTTCCCCCCTTCCCCTCCCCCCCCCTCCTTCTTTCCCCCTCCCTCCCCCTCTCCCTTTTCTCCCCCCCCTCCCTTTCCCTCTCTTCCCTTCTCCCCCCCCCCCCTCCCCCCCTCTTCCCCCCTCTCCCCCCCTCCCCCTCCTTCTCCCTCTCCCCCCCTTCCCCCTCCCCCCCCCCCCCCCCCCCCCCCTCCCCTCCCCCTCCCCCCCCCCCCCCCCCCCCCCCCCCCTTTCCCTCCCCCCCTCTCCTCCCCCCCCCTCCCCTTTTTTTTCCCCCCCCCTCCCTCCTTCCCTCCCTTCCCCTCCCCCCCCCCCCTTCCCCCCCCCCCCTTCCCCCTCCTTTTCCCCCCCCCTTTCCCCTCCCTTCTTCTTCTCTCCCCCCCCTTCCCCTCCCCCTTCCTCTCCCCTCTTCCTCCCTCCCCTCCTCTTCCCTTCCTCCCCCCCCTCCCTCCCCCCCCCTCCCCCCCCCCCCTCCCCCCCCTCTCTCCTCCCCCCCTTCCCCCCCCTCCCTTCTCCCCTCTCTCCCCCTCTCCTCCCCCCCTTCCCTTCCCTTCCCTCCCCCCCTCTCCCTCCCCCCTCCCCCTCTCTCCCCCCTCCCCCTCTCTCTCCCCCCCCCTCTCCTCCTCTCTCCCTTCTCTTCCCTCTTCCTCTCTCCTCCCCCTCTCTTCTCCCCCCCTCTCTCTCCTCTCCTCCCCTCCCCCCCCTCCCCCTCTCCCCCCCCTCCTCCCCCCCCCCCCTCCGCCCCTCCCCCCCCCCTTCTCCCCCCCCCCCTCCCCCCTCTCCCTCCTCTCTCTTTTCTCTTCCCCTCCCCCCCTCTCTCTCCCCCCCCTTCCCCCCTCTCCCCTCCCCCCCTCCCCCCCCCCCCCTCCCCCCTCTCCTCTCCCCTCTCCCCCCCTCCCCCCTCCCCCCCCCCTCCCCCCCCCTCCTCTCTCTCTCTCTCTCCCCTCTCTCTCCCCCCCTCTCCCCCCCCTCTCTCTCTTCCCCTCCTCCTCTTTCCCCCCCCCTCCCTCCCTCCCCCTCTTCTCCCCCCTCCCCTTCTCCCCCTCCCCCCCCCCTTTCCTCCCTTCTCTCTCCTCCCTCCCCTCCCCTCCCCCCCCCCTTTTCCCCCCCCCCCCCCCCCCCCCCCTTCCCCCCCCTCCCTTTCTCTTCCCCCCCCCTCTCCCCTCCCCCTTTCTCCACCCCCCTCTCCCCCCTCCCTCTTTTCTCTTCCCCCCCCTCTCCTCCCCCCCCCCCCCCCCCTCTCCCTCCCTTTCTTTTCTTCTTCCCCCCCTCCCCCCCCCTCCCCCCCCCCCCCCCCCCTCCCCCCCCCCCCCTTCCCCCCCCCCCCCCCCTTCCCCCCCCCCTCCCCCCCCCTCTTCTCCCTCTCTCCCCCCCCCCCTTCCTCCTCCCTCCCCCCCTCTCTCCCCCTCTTCCCCCCTCCTCCCCCCTCCCTCCTCTTCCCCTCCCCTCTCCCTCCCCCTCTCCCCTCCCCCCCCCCCTCTCTCTCCCCCCT